CAGCCCCCGCCCCACCCCGGCCCCGCCCTCTTGCCTCGATGAGCTCCTCTTTGGACGTGTACTCGGAAACCACCACACTCTCTCCATCGGTGAAGCGGGTGAGGCTCACGTGCAGCCTCCCGGTGGCGGCCTTGTAGGAGTCCTCAGGCAGGGCCTGGTACAGGAACTGCCGCATCATCTGCACCATCCTGCAGGAGGGCGCCAGGGGCCCCAGGAAGGACTTCTTCACCTCGGCCACGCCCACGTTGAGGACTCGGAGGTACTCATCTGTGGAGGAAGCAGAGAGGAGCGGGAGCTCAGCGGCCGTGGCCAAGGGAGGTCAACGGTGATTTCCCATCTCATCCTGCCGCCAGCAAATGGGAAGACCTAGAATTCTGAGGCAGGGAGGGGACCCACCTGTCATCTGCTCAGGAGGAAAGCAGACACGGTGGAACCGAGTCGCTGGCCCCCGAGATCCCAGGGCAGAACGAGACCCAAGCACCCCGACTCTGCTCACTGAGACAAAGGACCACTTTCCGACCCCAAGGAGCTTTCCCAGCTCCCTCACATGCCTGCTGTCCCCCAGCAGACGGCATTCTTTTGGAGTCTTAGAGACTTTTTGTCCTGAGATTCCCATCAAAACACAAACACACACACACACACACACCACTGACACAACACAGTGGAAAGCCTTCACCAAGTGACACCTGGAACACGGGCGTAGTGCCAGCTGCATCTGTGTGCAGGGAGGGCGTGTTGGCCTTGGGGCAGCTGACTTACAGGGAGGGGTGAACTTTGTCCTGAAACTATTGCATCATCTTCCCTTTCTGGCCCCGGATAGGCCCGAAAGGGAGAAGGTCCTGAACTCTGGAGACAGCTGTGCCAGGCTGCCCTGCAGGCGCCCAGGAGGGGGACACCTCCTCCTCCTTTTGAGAGGAGCACAGCCCCGGTGTGTTGCTCAGGGGGTGGCAGCGGGAGGTGTAAGTTGCCTCCCGGACCCTGAGAATCCCACCAGGGAAGTTGGGTTGTAGACTTGCTAAGACGTGCGATGGTGCTGGAGCCACACAGCATTACTCTGAGGCAGGTATTTCTCTCCTCATCCCGCTGGTCAGGAAGCAGAGGCTCGGAGAGCTGATATAACTTGCCCCGGGTCAACTATGTGGTACGTGGACAAAGTGGGCTTTTAACCTCGAGTGCCCCCGGAACCCCTACTCCTGCCACTAAACTAAGCTGCAGGCTCCCAGAGTCCGGCCTGTACCTGCGTCCTGCCCATTGTTGCTGTTTTCTACCTGGTGGAAACTCCCTGGGAAAATCAGGAATGGAAATGGCTCTGAAAAGGGCTGCTAACGCTTTAAACATTTCATTGTAAAACCTCCCGCACAGGAGAGCGTCCTCACAACCAGCATCAGGCAGCAATGGCTGTTTGGGAGGTGGTGTGGTCATGAGCTCTCTGCCGCTGGAGGTAATCAAGCAGAGGCAGGAAAAGCGCCCCAGTCAGAGAGCTCGCTCATCAAAGGGGTTCCTGGGTGGACCGTGAGGGCTAAGATCCCGTCTCATGATGAGATTCCGGGATTCTCACTAGAGCCCGACCACGTCTCCCGGGAAGGCATGGCGGTGAACCTTGTTCTCCATTATAAATAGAGCAGCTGAGGCACAGGGACCTTAAGTGATTTGCAGCAATTGGGGGACAAACTAAAGCTGGTGATGCGCTCCTCCTCCTGTGGTTTACAGGTTCCAGGCAAGTCCTCCCTAATCCTGGAGGTGGACAGGATAAGGAGCGTCCGCCTCATTCCTCAGATCCAGAAACCGAATCAGGGAAACCCTCCGTGTCCTCCCTGAGGTGAGAGCGCCGGGCCGTGTTTGCTCTGACTCCCGCCCACCGTCTGTCCCTGGGTGTTGGACTGATCCCAGAGGCTGGGGAGCCTGGGTTGCCATGGCGACAGCCTTTTCTCACTAACGTGTAGAATCCCAGCTGCGTATGTGCCGCCGTAGGGACGGGCCTGTGCAGCAGAGCATCTCAGCTATGTAGAATCCCAGCTGCGTATGTGCCGTAGGGACGGGCCTGTGCAGCAGAGCATCTCAGCTGTCACCCTTTAGGGGGGAGGCCCTGCCGTGGTGGCGAGGTTAGTGTTCCGTGTGCCAACTGATACAAACAGCGTTTCCCTGAAGGGAGGAGGCAGCCAACCCACCAGCAGGCCATGAAACTACTGGGCATTCAGATACCAAGGTTTTGGGTCACTGAGCTCTCTCCTACAAGACCAGCGGGATGGGGAGTCGAACCAGGGTGAGGATGTGCTGTTTTTGGAAATGCTTTTTAATCCTCACCTGAGGATATGTTCTTATTGGTTTTAGAGAGAGAGGAAGGGAGAGGGAGGGAGAGAGAGGGGGAGAAACATTGATCGGTTGCCTCCTGCATGCGCCCCGAATGGGAATCAAACCCGCAGCCTGGGTATGTGCCCTGATCAGGAACCGGATCTGCAGCCTTTCAGTGTACCTGACCATGCTCCAACCACTGAGCCACCGGCCAGGCTGCTTTTGGAATTCTTAATGAGCAACCTGAAGTGGTCACAAAGGAGTTGGTGGCCTTCCCACAATGCCTGGGAGCCAGGAGCACCCAGCTCTGTTTGCCCAAACGCTCCTTGGACTCCCAGCAAGAGGAGCTCGCTGGGACCGATGGAAGGACGTTTGTTCTTATTGCACAAGAAATAAATGTTCATGATGGGAAAATTGCTTTAAATGCAGATAAGCAAAAGGAAAAGATTAAAACGACTTGGAATCCCTCCACCCAGAGATCAACATTTGGTTTATGTCTTCCTACACTATATATTTTATATTTATTCTTACTTACAAAATACTTTTATGGGGTCAATCTATTTACATTATTTTGTAACTTGCCTTTTTCACCTAGTAAATCATGTCTTTCCCATCAATAAGTACCCACTTAGAACCTCATTTACAAGCAGCATGGAAAGCTACTGTAAGGCTATGAGATTATTTATTGGGCAGGTCCCCTGGAGGAGTTGAATATTTAGTTTGTTTCCTTGCTTTTATAAACAATGCTGCAATTAATAATCTCATGCTAAATTCTTTGCCTGTGTCCTTCCTTATTTTCCTCAGGATGGGAACAGAGGTGGGGGTGCTAAGTCAAAGGCACGTGCACAGTTAGCCTCATAATGCTTATTTTGATCATGGCTTTTGTGTATTATCCATTTAGAGTCAACTCAGCTGTTCAGGGGTGGTGATGGGTGACAGGGACTGAGCAGTGGCCAAGATAATAGAAATAGTATTGACATGTCCAATATAGTAGTTACACCTGGAAGCTAGCAACGCTCTACCAGGGGTCCTCAAACTTTTTAAACAGGGGGCCAGTTCACTGTCCCTCAGACCGTTGGAGGGCCGGACTATAGTTTAAAAAAAAACTATGAACAAATTCTTATGCACACTGCACATATCTTATTTTGAAGTAAAAAAACAAAACGGGAACAAATACAATAGGCCTGTGTACATTTAGCCTCATAATGCTTATTTTGATCATGGCTTTTCTGTATTATCCATTTAGAGTCAACTCAGCTGTTCAGGGGGGGTGGTGACAGGGACTGAGCAGTGGCCAAGATAATAGAAATAGTATCGACATCTCCAATATAGTAGTTACACGTGGAAGCTAGCAACGCTCTAGCCAGTATCACATATCCGGGGAGGGAGGGGACAGGAGATTGTCTGATTTCTCCCACTCAGGTGCCTAGTTTAATATTCTTTCCTGCTGCTCACCGGGGATTCGTACCAAAGGATGCCTTTATCTCCGCTTCTCCTTGCTTCTCTTCAGGTCCGCCTGTGTGTCTCTGTCTTCAGAGCCTCTCTCTCCCCCTCCCAACCCCCTTCTCTCTCTTCCTAGCTGAGGCAAAAGCAACTAATCTTCTGGTTAACAAGTCTCTGTTGGGAGAAAGTCACATGCTAAGCATAGCAAGTGCTGGGTGCTGTGAGGAGGGGTAAATTTAGCTTGCTTCTCTATGCATCTGTCCTTTCCAGCACCGTCTCCCATTTAAAGGGCTCCTTCCAGGCTGCTGGGCTCTGAGACACCGTGTCCCACACAGACCGCAGCCGGGCGGGATTTGCAAGCCGCACAGCAGGAAACTCAAGGTTGGCTGCTCTCACCCCGGCCC